CTTAAAGAGTCTACAACTTTCCATTTCTATGCTAGGGACTAAGCTTCTAGCACATAAATCTTTGGGAGATAAACTATATCCAAATCATAGTATCAGATGACACAATTTTCTGAATGAGACCAACAGGTGCCTGCCAAGTCCACCTTTCCCTGCCACTGAAGGTTAGAGCAATAGAAATCTCCAGCAAATTGACTCTTACACAATTTTCCAACAGACTTATGATTGATGAAACAAGATTGAGGAGATGATGCAGGGTCTTTTTCTCACAAATATTCTCAGATCAAAAGCTGTAGAAGAATCACAGAAGTGGATTTGGCCTGTGGAGAGATTTAGTCTTTTTGAAGTATGCAAGCAAGTGTGAGGTTGAGGTAGCCCCACACTACCATATTGAATGTTCAGATTGACCCCAGATGGCTGAATGTGCAACTGTACCAATAAAATAAACCCCCTCTTACCATAGTTTAGGGATAAAGAAAGTTCTAAAATATTGTCTTTATTCTACCTTCTTCCTAGGGAGTGAATTCTACCTTCTTCTCCTCTGAGGAAATATGGTAGCAGGGGTGAGCTTCCAAGTTAACAAGTATTTCTTCTTAGCAAGAGCAGTTGTAGATCTTATTGTCATCATTCTGAGCTGCTGCCTCTGTTCCAAGGGGCTGTTGAGTGATGAGTAGAGCACAAAATGGGGGCAGACTAACTCCTACTCATTCCTATTCTGCCAAGTGCTCAAAGAGATGTGCTTTTATTTACAGTGCATAACAACCCAGTCTCCAAGTGGCAACTGAGATTCAAAGAGGGAAAAGAGGATTCCAGCTTGGGTCTGGGTGGCGCTGCCTTTGGTGAAAATGGAACTGACTGCCAGGTCACACTTATTTCCCCCACCCAGTATCAGCCAGCAAGGGGTCAGTACAGCCCCGGAAGTCTTGGTGTTCAGTTGAAGGCAGTGCTACAATCTATGCTACTTCCTCTTAGAAAGAAATCTGTAGAGCCACACATATACCTGACGCAAAAAAAAAAAAAAAAGAAAAAAGGGAAATAAAAGATGAACTAAGGAATGGCTTCAACATTATGAAGACTCACTACAGGGTTCCTTTAAATAGCTCCCCTAGTGTTTTTATTATGTAGGTTGATTTACCCCCAAAAAGTAAATTCACAAATAACAATCTTTTCAGAATTTTATTTGCTTTGTAAAGCACAACACATATTAACAGACCTCTGATCCATTATCTGTGCTTAGAAACAGGCTGTAAGGATGATCAGCAGGACAGAAACTACATCAGCAGGGAGCAGAGTGCCCAGGTTACCTGCAAGGCCAGCAAAGAAGAATGGGAACAGGAGACCAAGGCTAAGAGGAGAGCGCTGCAAAGAAAAGGACTCCTGGCAGGTTGTTTTATCAGGGCTGTGGGGTTCTTTCCTGTCAATGATAGAGGTACAGGCCCCTTCCTGTTTCCAGGAGCAATTGCATTTCCCTAGCCCTATTTCCTGACTCCCACCCTCGACTCCCACCCTAGGCAGGGAGCTGCCCTACTTACCCAAAGACCTCTGCTCTTCACAATAGTCAGGGACCTGACTCCTTCCCTGGCTTTTTCTCCTGGTTCTCCCCTTTTATCAGTCCTTCCAGAATACCACCCCTCTGCCTCCCTTCTTGCAGTGTCTCATCCCCAGGATAAACTAAGAGATTCTATGGGCCCTGAACCACTGAACCTACATCATCACATTACATGATATATGTCATGTGTATTATAGATATAATTTTAATTAATTGTGATTTTAGTATATTTAATAATTTGATGATCTAAGTTTATAATTATATATAAATGCATATTAGTTTCCTCTCCCTAGACCAGGAATTTCTTTGATTCAGGGACTTTATCTGATTTATGTACCTCCCTTGACTAGCACAGTGCCTGACAATAAATATGGGTTGCACTGTTCTGATTTCACAGGAAAAAAAAGAATATAATTTTTCAGGTATTGCTAGTTGTTAAGACCTAAACTAACATGTCACATCAGAAGTAAAATTTTAACACAATAGTAAGATTATTTAACTATATTATTTCAAATTTACTCCCCCAGTACTACAGTAAAGTCATTTCATAACTGAAATTATTAAAAGAAAACTTTCATATTTCCTTATATACTGTTATACTATTAAGGAAGGCATGTCAAAAACTATCACCTCAGATGGGATTCCAGCAGATAACCCTTTGTAATTCTAATCCACATTTCCTTTTATCTTCAATTAAAAAAAAACCTGAGGTGAAAAGTTAAAGTAGAACGATATTGCTGTGCACACACTTTTTTCTCCCTTCCCAATATTTTTCTCCTCAATGCGTGCAATTGGTAATTAAATATATTTCTGCTAGTCTTGTGGCCATATGCCTACAATATGTAAAAATACATTTGCGCTCCCCCCTCCATTCCTTTTGTTCCCAATGCTGACTGCTGTCAGAGCAAGGGAACCGTCCAGATTCCTGTGTGCTGGTATCCATGGGCTTCGTCTTGCCAAGCTGCCAGTCTGGGCCGTCACACCTTACTGCCTTTAAAGATTGCCCTGCAGAGATAGAGGGAAATGGCAATTTTTACATGATGCAGTCTGGCGACCCAAGAGATTTGAAGTCAGAACTGGTGCCAAGATTTACCCAGGAGAGCAAGCAGAGGCAAAAACAGAGAACCTGGTCCAAAAGAAAAAAAAATAAGAGGAAAGCTGGGGGACGGGCAGCCACAGTCAACTCTCTGGGGGCTCCCTCAAAAGGCTGAAGGCCAGCCAGTGGGCAAAGGCTGTGGTTCTAGGACTCTGTGGGTCCTAAAGAAAGTCAAAGGGAAGAGGTCGGCTTTTTTTGCGTGCCCTAAATTGTAGTAGATTGCAGAATGTAAATGAGACAATTATTACACCAACGCTCATCAAGCTGGGCTGGAAAGACTTCAATAGCCTGATGAATATGCATGCAAATTTGTTAATTAAGTTAATTATTCTGCTGAAAATTCATTTGTCTTCCAAGGACATTTTCCCAATGATTTTTACATGCTAGCGCCATTAGTCATGCTCCATGCTATTTAACATTACTTTTTGTCCACTTTCTTTCCCTCCGCCCCTTTTTAAAAAATATTTTAAAGTTTCAAAAACAGTTGATTGGTTCTTTTAATTGACCCCCGCCATGTTAGAAGATGCCTACAGCCAGCTCGGTAGGCATTCTCAGAAACACGTTTCAATTAAATATTTCCTTGATATATAAAATGTCGGCAAAATGTCACATTGGTGGGGAGGAGAAGAGCTCTTTCCGGGATCATTAAAGCTAGACTCTGAAACGTTCTCCATAGTGACTGTACGAGGTAATCTGTCCCCGCTGTGGGCGATTTCCCAGGCTCCAAGAGTTATTTGATGCACAGATTTACCTTGCTGAGGAAGCGTGGAGATTCCAGCCTGCTCTCCTCCCGCCGCAAGGCGGAAACTCAGCGCACGTGTGTGTTCAAACAGGAACCAGGACTGTGATACTTTTCTGTCACCCATGAGGGCCCAAACCTGTTACCATGGCAACAACGGGGGACTAGTGTGTTTAAAATCCCATCGAAATGGCAAATTGAGATATTTGAAAGAAACGGTTGAGTTTAATTTTGTTAGCCAAAAATTATAGAATGATATTTTGTTTTGTTTTTTATACCACTTATTACTTTGCTGGGCAAAGCAGGCTTATTTAATTGAGGCCTTCCTTGTGGGCTTCGAGACTGGAATCACTGGAGATTCTGTGAGTTGGATTTGACCAGATTCTTAATCTCAAGGCACAAAGACACACATAAAGCTGCCTATTTAAATCTCCCAAGAATCTACGTACTCAGATTATAGTTTCGATCCCAAATCAAAAATCTGAACATGTGGCCTGATACATCCAAGTGCTCTTAGTGGGATGGCAGGATAGACGATTTAAAATCAAGACTATTTCAGAAAATCAGAGGAACGTGGTTGCCTAAATACATTAGAAAGTCACTGTAAGAAAGAAAAAGGTTAATCTAAGCATTACTCAAGGGAAACAGCCATATGCATGCGTAAAAGCCTCTCTGAAGGTAATTTATTTTCTTTAGAAAGAAGGTAAATTCCTGCTCTCCCCCCCCCCCAGGTCAGAAGGAAATTCTTCAATGTGGTTTTAGGTTACAGTTAGGGTTGATCAGACTTCCTAGAAATCATTGTAATGGAAAGGGGTGCAATAATGAAGAAAATAAAATATAATTGAAAGAGTTGGAGAAAAATTAATTGGCATGCCATGTCTTTCAAGCCACTCATATATATTTTATACAGTATGAATGGCACTATGTGTCACATAGATTGTAAACCAATTAAGCTGTATTTTAAACCCTGCAATTTCTATAATTCCATCTGTTTTAGAAGGTTTAATTAGCAAAGTTACAAAAGCCAAATATATTTGAATATCTTGAAAGCAGGCTGAATGGCAAAAAAATGAAAAGTTCCCATAAATATTTAACTACACAATCATGTACATTTCATGAGAATATACTTTACATGTACTTCAAAAGGATACATGTGAATTTTTCTAAATTTTACCAACAATAAGCCACATCCAAGGGAAATTGGATTCATATGTTGTTAGGGTCTGTAAATGAATTCCATTGGGTTTTTTTTCTGTTTTTCATCAAACTTCCAGAGATTCTTTCTGATGAAAATCTCATACCTGTCATTTAACCTCAAATGTGGGCCCAATGTGACAACTATATAAAATTAAACATTACTGAACACTGTCTTAGAAATGTTCTTTCCATAGGCTTATAAAAGAGGCCTGTCATTTTGCAAGTGAAAGGGAATATTTTTCAGTTACATTCTAACATTTTTTTAGGCTGCTGGCAACCTATTTTGGAGAAATAAGAGTACATGGAGATGTGTCATCTTTAAAACTTGAACACAAAATCTAAAACTACAAATTTAAGAATTCAACCAATTTTTCCACTATTAAAGAAAAACATTGTTTTGAATTTTTTTTTAAAAGGGGCCAACAGGATCTTGCTTGTTCCATGGTCTGGATGTTATGTTGAGCAGCTGCACATTATTCTGGGCCTCATATGGCCCCAGTCACCAATGACTGACAGACGATAGTGACAATATGATGCATAATATTCTCCCTCCTCCAGATGCCTGCCATAACATGATTGTGACTCAGTGGGTGTCCAGCTCTGTCTTTTCTTCCTACTGTATTTCTGACATATAAAAAGGTTTGATTAATTTTTATGTGCTTATCTTTTTTATTTCCAGAAATACAGTGAGTATAATTTATTATTAGTTCTATTCATATTCCACATCACGTGAACAAACAACTTTTGTTTCCTGTTGTATTGAGTACTATCAAGTAAGAAAAAATGGCTAATAAAGGGAAAGGTGAAAATTTTATGGTTTAGTTCCAAAAGGGCCCCCAAAGCCTCATGTGTTTGGAAGATACTTGGATTATACAGGCCACATAGCTGGCTTGCAGTTGAGAGAAGGAGTCTGATCAGAGGACATGGGTCCCTGGGTGTGGTGTAGAAGAGATCCCTTCTCAGATCCTCCCTTCTCTCTCTGCTTCCTGGCTGCCATGAAGTGAGCACCTTTCCCCCCTTCCTCCACCCCGGCCCTTCCATCATACCTTCTTGCCTTGGAGCCTGTGAGCAAAAATATGAGTCTAAATAAACCTCTCCTCCTTTAAGTTGTGGGTGCCAGATATTTTGTCCCAGGGATGAGGAAATGAAGACAAAAATCAACCTATGCTGAGTGTACACATCACTGTGGAGCACTAACATTTATTGAAGATCTATAAGGATGGCATCTGGTTTTTGAGCATTGTCCCTTTTAACCCTGCATCTACCATCCAAGAAAGTTATAATCATGCACTTTTGACAAGAGAAGAAAGTGAAATCCAAAGAAATAGAATTTGTGCTCAAGTAATGAGAAAGGAATAGAAAATTCCAATAAGCAAGCAGCAAAAACAAAACCAGGAGCCAGAAAAGATATCCAGATTGTTTAGTACAAAGCTTTTAAGTATTCTAATGTACCTGGATACCTTTACTGATCTTTAAAAACTCACCTTGGGAACCATGATATATCCAACACTTGATATTTTTATTATGCAGATGGGCTCCTGGACCCCTTGTGGATATCAAAATCCACAGATGCTCAAGCCCCTTATATAAAATGGCATAGCATGTGCATATGGTCTGTGAACACTCTCTGATATACTCTAAGTCATCTCTAAATTAGTTATAATTCCTAATACAGTGTACCTTACTGTGAATAGTTGCTATACTATATTGTTAGGGAATAATGACAAGAAAAAAATCACCACAGTTCAACATAGAAATTATTTATTTCAAATATTTTCAGTCTATGATTGAATGGTGCTCTGTGGTGGAACCAACATATGAAGGGGTAACTGTATAGCAGCATCTAATTTACTCACAAAGTGTCACCTAGGTAGCCTAGTATAATAATAGCACACCTCTGTAACCCCAACTACTTGGGAGCCTGAGGCAGGAGGATGACCAAGTTTGAGGCCAGCCTCAGCAACTTAGTGAGACCCTATCTCAAAATTAAAAATAAAAAAGCCTGAGCATGCAGCTCAGTAGTAAAGCATCTGCCTACTGTAAGTGAGGGCAGGAGTTCTATCCCGAGCACCATAAAAAGAAACAGACAAACCCAAACAACTACCTAGACATCCCATCTTTTTCTTTCTTTTTTTACTTATTTTTCTGTGTCCTGAAGATTGAACCCAGGGTCTTTGCACTGAGCTACATCCCCATCCCTACAGCACTGTTTTTAAGTTTTTAATTTGGAGACAGGATCTAGCTAAGTCACTAAGTTGCCAAGGTGGGACTCAAACCTGTGATCCTCCTGCCTCAGCCTCCCAGAATACTGGGATTATAGGCATGTGCCATTGTGCCCAGTTTCATTACATTATATTATATTGTATTAGTTATTATTATATCATGTTAATTTTTACTCTCTTATGGGCTTCCTGTCTTTTAAAAGATCTACTCTGGTGTAGTTTACATTTAAATTTTAAAAAGTGAATTATCCCAAGAAGGTTAAATGAATAGTTCCACAACTGCAGGAGGCATTTGCTCCTATTTGCATCACCTGTACTTCTCTTTTTCAAGGTCCACCTGTCCTCCTCATCTACCATGGGGGACTCATCAGAGGACAAGGCTACCAGGAGTCCTACACAGGGGCGTGTGTCCTTTCCCCTTCTAAAGTGAGAAGGAATAAGGGTCCTTGTAGCTGTCCTTGCTGAAGTGATAAGTGAGTTATTTCTGCATAACACCAACACAGTGAAAAGCAGAGGAGGGAGGAGAGAGAGAGAAAGAGAGAGAGAGTCAGAAAGTTGATGTCAGCTCGTCCGGTGGCATGAGTCTGTCCCTCTAGCTTCTCTCTTTCTCTAGTCTCCCCCCACCTCTCTCCCTCTCAGAACTGAATAATTATCCCAACCAATATAGGCTTCAAACAAAAACCAGAAGAAACCAATTCACATTTCTTAATTCTGTAGTACTTTTGAAAAAACAATTTCCAAGGCAAAGAGGCAAATGTCTCAAAAGATTCATACGTGCTGACTTTAACATTACTCTGCTAGCCCAGCTTTAATTACCTGTGTCATTTTTGGTTATTGATCTCTGTTTTCCAAACATTTGTGATGAATCATCCACCCTGTAACAATGTATGAATTTGTTACTACAGTATATGCCAGAATTGAGTTTTTATGCTAAAGACACTGCCCATGAGACAAACCCAAGTCACTTTATAGTCCATGCTATTCAGTCACACCTTGAGTGTGACATTTAGAAATGATCATTGTGGACTACTAACAAGATAATTCAGATCAAAGAACCCACTTTGGATCCTGAGCTTTTTAATTTGCTTATGAGAATGAATTTAACTCTGAAAAACGTTTTATGCTGTGCCCCTGTTTCTAAAATTCTAAAAGAGACCTAGAACTTTATTGTACCCTTAGAAGTTAATGTTGCTGTATTCTGTCAGAGATATTTGAAACATATTTTGTCATAATTAAAGAATAGAAGACTATAGAGAACTATAGACGACTGAATTATGCATTAGAAATGGGGTAGGGTTTCAGGACTTTGAGTCAGATTATGGATTACATAGCTTCAAAGTCTGGCTCTGCTCCTTACTGGCACTGAGTATAACCTTGGGCCCATTCCCTAAGCTCTCTGTATCTCAGTTTGGTTGTGTCAAAGTTGTGATTTGCTGAATGAGTTAATCACTGTACCTGGCACATAAACTGGGCTCAGGAAATGTTACCTATTATTGGGTTTTTTATTTACTTATGGAATAGCCTACTGCAGAACTCTTCTTACACCATTATGTAAAACATCCAGTAGTTAGTTATTTGGTGGAATCAATAACAATGTGCAAAATCCTGACAAGTGATTCATATTTTTAAAGTATGCATTTGTAAGATTTACCAAATAACTGACCCCCATCCAAATCTATTTGTCTACTACTACAAGCTACTAGTAAATGTAGTATTGTTGCTCATGCCAGGCCTACCTTTTAAAAAGTCCTCAATTACTATCTTATTATCTTAAAAACATGCGTTACATATCTCCTATGTGCAACAGACTGAGTTCAGTGTGTACAGGGTTTACATGGACATAAATCATAGAAAAATATGGATCCTGCACTCTCCAATTTAGAGTTTAAAAAATTTATGATATGTTCATTTAAAAAACTAGAATGCTAGGTCTAAAGTGAAACACCCTGCAGAGATAGGTATTAAGGGCTAAGTTGTGTCCTGCCACAGATTCATATGATAAAGTACTTACCTCTAGTAACCCAGAATGTGACATAGAGCCTTTAAAGAAGTAACAAAGATAAAAATGAGGTCATTAGTGTGGACCCAATATACCGGAATCTTTAGCAGAGGAAATCTGGGCACAGACATACTTAGAGGGAAGCCCATGTGAAGATACATGGAGAAGATGGTCATCCACAAGCCAAGTAGGACTATATCAGAAGAAACTGATGTTGCTAAGACTTTGATCTCGAACTTCTAAGGCTCCAGAATTGTGAGAAAATAAGTATTTGTGTTAAGCCACTAAGTTTTTGGTACTTTTCAATGAAACTCTAGAAAACAAAAAGAAAAAAGAGAGTGCCACACTAATTCAGAGAATTGGAGATGCCCTTCTAGCTGGAAGCACTGGGGAAAGCTCTATGCGGTATTGGGGGAGGGATCTGCAGTGGCCTTTGAAGTAGAGGTTGGAGACAGGTAGCTGGAGAATAAGGTGTTTCTCAGTGAGAAGATCCTATCAAGCACATGGCTACAGGAAAGAATGTAGATAAACTTTTTAACTTGGCTGATTGGGAAAGACCTAAAGTACAGGTTAATATCACGATTACAATTACAGGTTTGCATTCTAGACTGGGTGAAATAGAAAGCAACTGAAATATTTTTGTGGCACTATAACAAAATCTAAGCTGTGCTTGAAAAATATTAGTCACTTGACAATTACTTGAAATAAGGAAGCAATTTGAGTTGGGATAAAATACCTGGCAACCTAACACAATGGAGTAAAGAATATAAAAGAATATTTTAGAAATAACAGACACTGAAGTCCCGGAGAAACAGCAGATGACTTTACTATGAGGGACAAGGAAAGGACTGAGAGATAATAGGTAAGATCTGATTTTGTGGTGTGGGAGGACTCACAATTTTAAATTCATTGCGAATGCAAAACTAAATATGTGTATAAAGATAGATATAATATGATCTTCTGGTAAGAGAAATACAAACTACATTGGCATTAGCTACTGTAAGAGCTTGTTTCTATCTTTTGGGGTTATTCTCAGTCTTACAATAGTCAAGATATAGATTTTGATCCTTTTTTTTTTGGTGCTGGGGATCGAACTCGGGTCCTTGCGCCTGCACAGCAGGCAGCAAAACCATTGAACTAAATCCCAGGTCCGATTTTGATCATTATTGAAATCAGGAGAGGGGAGTTAAACTGCCAAGAGCAATTATAGGAAAACACAAGAGAAGTTGGGGGCATCTAGGAAGCCAAGAATCAAAGGGAAATACGCGGTGCACTGTTTGAAGAAGTAGGAGGAAAATGTGTACTTGTGAAGACGTTTATGCAGCCACTGTAGAAGAACTCCAGAACCTTGAAGAAAATCTCTTCCAAATGCCTACATTTCCAGGGTTAAATTTTTCAATGGAATAGATGCGAGAATGCTCCGTGTTCAAGTTAAAAAGTAGAAACAGTTTTTACTCGCATTATCAAAACAGGAATCAAAAGTTTCAGTTTCTTCCTAGCTATAGTAAATCTTAATAAAAGTATTCAAAATCAAAGAACTTCATCTCTACTAGCTTTTAATCATTTTAAAATTTCTTTGGGGGGTAATAAATGTATTTTTATAAAATTTGAAGAAAAAATATTCAAATGCATCTTTTCAGAGTGCAATGCTAGACATAATTCAACCTAATCTCTTTTTCCCAATGAGATGCAGAATTTAAATCAAAGATCTCAATAGAATTTAATGACTAAACATTGGCTTTTCATATTTTTACATCAATGTTCATAAAACTATCCTCTTCAGTACACTGCGTAGTTTCTTTTCTCAGCTTCTCTTTGGCCTCTATGGGTAGACATCTTCTGTTATAATCACACTCCATGACTACACAACACCTATCTGATTTGCTGGGAACAGAGGGGCAGATCTGTGCTCCACTATCAACATGCTTGCTAGGAGCTAACCGTTGTGGCTGCAAAGAAGGTGAAGCTCACAGGACAAACAGCCTAAGCAGGCACCTGAAAGACAGCTTCCTCATTCATTAAGGAGTTTGCCTGTAACACTTACTTTTCAGCTTGGAATAATGATATTTTATATATTCATGAGCAATTGTAAACACCACAGAGTACTGAGCTCTCTGTGTATATTTGGCTGCTATAGAATAAAGGCATTTATACAACATTAAATAATTATCTTGCAAATCTAAAAGGATTCAACATTTTATTTTGAAGATTCTAATGATAACATATTTTACTTACCCAACCTGATGTTATCATATGTGTGTATGAGTGTATAAATATTTATGTTTAAATATATACATATACATATGTATGTTCTACATATACATATGTGTGTTCTATGGTGTTTTTGGTCTTTTGTTTTTTTCACCAGGGATCGAACTCAGGATCTTGAGCTTATCCAGGCAGGTGCAACGCCACTGGGCTGCATTCCTGACCCGATCACTATTATACTTAATTTACTCTGTCTTTTTTTCCCCAGAATCAGGGATCAAACTCAGGACTTTGCACTTGTCAGGCAGGTACAGTGCCACTGAGCTACATCCCCGGCCCTATATGTACTACACATATACATACATGTGTGTGTGTATAAACTAAAATGATTACCATGATGGAACAAATTAACATCCATCACTCACATAGCTCTCCATTTCCCCCTGTAACAAGAGCACCTATAATCTTCTGGTTTAGCAAAAATCTTGAAAAAATATACTAACTATAATCTTCACATATCTTACTTTCTAATATAAATTACTCTGTAACATGAAAGTGGTCTAACTAGCAATCAAAAGCCCCATAACTAATCCTTGAAAGTCAGTTTCAAATAGGGTTATATCTAAATAAGCCCTAACCAGACAGATTTCTGTCATTACTGAAAGCTATTCCACAGCAGGTACCCAGCATACTTTCTGTGTGTCTGTTTATATAATATACAGAAATAATTAATTAACAAATTAAATATCAATTTAATAAATTGAGTTGATTACTCTTATTACAATATCTCTGATATTAATATCTGTCAGTAACTTGACAACAATTGCTTAATCAACATTTAAATCAAGCTTTAAACCAAGTATAAAATATGGATGTTTGGGAAACATAGACCACATTCTGCAATTGAATAAAATTTATCATTCTTTCTCTTTTGCAAATAGAAGACCAATGACTAGGACGGCTTTGGTCAAATCAATTCATAGCCACTGACCTGAGTATGTCTTTGTATCTCCTAAATAAATTTTAAAGAGATGCTTTTAACAGATAGTGCATATTCAGTAAGTTTATTGTGGAAATAGAAATTAAGAGCCATGACTAGTAAAACAAGGAAAACATGGAATGACGATCAGCTTCTACAACAAAAATAGAGAGCTAGCCATTCTATATTTTAATATACAAACCACAAAGCTAAGAGAAGCAATTCCCAAGCATGCTGGCTAGAGCTCAGTTGAATAACCACACTGACAGTTATGCTGATCTGGTTAGGAGTCTGAAAGAGTTCTCTCTCCACCTGTCTCACAAAGTGTAACAGGTACCCCAATGATTGCTGAACCTGTTTCTAGAAAAATGCATAAATTACTGGATTCAGTGTCATAATCATCATAACATCCTCTGCCCCAACATTTCTTTCCACATCAGGCTTTCTGAATATTTCCATGTAAACAAGATGTTGTTATTTTGGCAATCATTTATCCTAAATGGAATTTGTATGAAACCATTCTACCTTTTCAAGCTGTGTATTATCTACATAGTGTTGTTAAATTTTCCATTGAAAAATGACAACTTTGAACTTAGGGAGCTATCTACAAGATTGGTCACTTAAAAACAGAGGTGTTAAATTTTAGTGGCACGAGAGATTAATATGCATCTGCCTACAGATTAGTTAAA